TGCTTAACAAAAAAAATTGAAAAGTGTATACTCAAATATGTGTTTAACCTTTTCAGAGAAAACGAATTGTTGAAAAATTTACAGTCGGGATTCGTGCCTGGCGATTCCACATCTTATCAACTCAATTACCTATATAATTTTATTGCTAGGGCATTAGACGAAGGTAAAGAAATCAGAGCTGTTTTTTGTGATGTCAGCAAAGCCTTTGATAGAGTATGGCATGCTTACGGTATCCAAGGTGATCTTTTGAAATGGTTTGAAAGCTACTTAGCACATAGAGTCCAAAAAGTAGTCATTAATGGTTATACCTCAGAATCAAAATTTGTACAAGCTAGGGTCCCCCAAGGGTCAGTCCTTGGACGACTACTTTTTATTGTTTATATAAATGACATTGTCGAAGGTATCGAGAGTAATATACGCCTGTTCGCAGACGATACATCTATATATGTCATCATTGATGATCAAATCTCTGCAGCAAATAGTATCAACAATGATTTGGCAAAAATCTCAAACTGGGCCCAATAATGGCAAGTAGGTTTCAATCCCGATAAGACCAAAACTATAACATTCAGTCGCAAAGTCAATTCTGGTTTTAGACCAAACTTATACATGGAGAGTATTGTTATTGAAGAAGTACAAAGTCATAAACATTAAGGAATAACACTTCAATCTGATTGTTCATGGAAAATACACATTAACGAAATTATTAGAAAAATCAGTCAAATGATCAACTGCCTAAGGAGCTGTAAATACAGACTAACAAGAAATACACTTGAAACTATGTACACATCTCTTATCCTACCAAACTTCGACTACTGCTGTCATATTTGGGACAACTGTACAAACGAACAATCATTTTTACTCGAGAATTTACATTTGGATGCATTGAGAACTATTTGTGGGGCGGTTCGGGGTACCAGTCATGTTAAAATTTATAACGAAACAAACTTTCAGTCCTTAAAAGAACGACGACACCGCTTCAAATTGATTACATTTTACAAAATGAAAAACAGTATTTCACCTGTATATCTCAACGATATCATTCCAAGTCCAGTCTCTGAAAATAGCAATTATAACCTTAGAAATAGATCTAACATACAAACAATCAAATGTAGAACCCAGACCTATGCTAAATCATTTCTTCCGGATACGATTAATTTGTGGAACGCTCTACCCAATGAAGTTACTAATTCTTGCTCATTAAAAGAATTCAAATCCTTAATTAATCGTTCTGATACAATTATTAATAATTTTGACCTAAAATACGGTCATAGATCATGCCAAATTGTCCACTGTCTCCTTAGGCTCGGCTGCAGTGACCTAAACGCTGATAAGTTTAGACGACATGTATCAGACATATCAGACTGCACTTGTGGGTATCACTGAAGACGCAATTCACTTTTTCTATACCTGTCAAAAATACGATAATATCAGAAACACTATGTACTTCTACACCCATGGGTATGATTTAAAAACGGTATTACATGGCAATAGTTCAGTGAGCAGTTCTACAAACATGACTATTCTTAAATCAGTTCTCGATTTCATTGTCAAAAGCAAAAGATTCGAGTAGCTTAATTTTATGCATGTAGTAACTGCTATATCTTATTTCACAGACACCACTTGTACTGGCTTCATATATTTCATTTGTGCATTTAGTATGTTTATGTTTAGCACTATTTTACATATAATCTGATATGTAACCAGCTGTTGTAAAGTTATTACCTGGAGAGGTATTTACATAAGCAAGTTTTGCTTGTTTACCGATCCAGATTTCTTTTGAAATAAAAATATGTTTAAACCAAAACCCAAAATTCCGAGGGATATATATGAAAAGAAAAATTGAAATAATACAAATATAAATTCCTTCCAGGTGAAGGCTATCACTTGAAATCAAATTAACAAAGCAGATTTTAGTCAATGACACATCGCTTGGGGTAGAAGTTCATCTCTGTCACCATGCTATGGTATTTCTGGAAAGGAAAGTTTACTTACAAAGTTGTAATATACGTGAAAGGCTTAATGTTGCTGATTAAGCGCAAAGATATAAACTCTAACTGACTGCTCAGTAACATTCATGTAATATTAGTAATATTCAAATAAGTGTACTTGTTCTAGGTGTGTGTGACGTGGGTACATATATATACTAGCCACATAAAGAAACTGTGCACGGAGAAAATATAGATATAAGGGCACGCCGTCCACATATGAAATATAGGTTTGAACACAGCAATTATTGGAGACAGGCAAACTCTCATGCACGTGCCATGCGATATGACGTCATTGATGGGGGCCTATGGCCGTGCAATGTGTTACTGCACGTGCATCCTGTGCAGCTGTACACAGAAAGTGCAACTCAAAATTCGCTGTCACTTTGGAAAGCATGATCTGTGGTCATTCAAAAATTCAAAACTTCTCAGGCGCAGACACAGGCATATCACAAGCAAATCATCCCAAGATTGACAGCTGCACAGCGTCATGAAGCCATTGGAATGATCCGAGCGGGAATGAGGCAACAACAGGTGGCAACACATTTCCAATGCCATCGTAACACGATATCGGCATTGTTGAGGCGTTATCAGAACACACATGACGTTGCCGACCACCCACGTTCAGGCCGTCCCCGAGTAACGACGCCAAGACAGGACAGATGGATTCGAGTTACACATCTCCGACACAGGTTCCAAACGGCAGTAACGACGTCCCAGACAATTCCTGGACTGCGCCGTATCCATCCCAACACTGTCAGGAATCGTTTACGTCAGTACGGGATTCGACCACGACGCCCTACCATACGTCCCATCCTGACACACCGTCATCGCGTCAACCGTCTAATTAAGATGGTGTCGAAATCGTGTTCGCCAACCTCGAATATGGTGGAGAAATGTTGTCTTTACAGATGAATCGAGGTTCAACATTTCCCACAGTGACGGGCGCCAACGTGTCTACCGGCGTTTGGGAGAACGTTATGCACGCAACTGTATTGTGGAGAGGAATCGTTTTGGAGGTGGCTCTTGATGATTTGGGGTGGGATAACAGCACGGCACCAAACCCTTATTGGTTGTTCAGGGCAATCTCACTAATGTTGGCTACAAAGAACAGATTCTGAGGCCTGTGGTCATTCCTTTCCTGCAACGTCATGGCCCGGGATTGACATTTCAACAGGACAACCCTCGTCCTCACACGGCTAGGGTCGCAATGGATTTCCTTCACCATAACAATGTCATGCTACTGCCATGGCCTGCAAATTCTCCAGATATCTCCCCAATAGAGCATGTGTGGGATGAAATGGAGCGCCGTCTGTGTCGTCTTCCACATCCTCCAGATAACGTCCGTGACTTGGCACAGGATTTGAGGAGGATATGGCAGGCCATTCCCCAGGCCTTCCATGCTCATTTGGTTGACTCCATGCGTCGCCGATGCACTGCTGTGATTCACGCACAGGGTGGTCACACCCGTTATTGACTTTGTGGCTTTGTCGTTTGACCTCCTACTCCCTTTTGATCTTCTGACGTCATCGTAACAGATGTTGTTCAGGTCCCGTTGACATTTTCTTATGGTCCGATCATTCAGCTGCTACAGCGTCTGCATCATTTTGTTCTTGCTGTGTTGTATTTCAATCCAGAATATATTTTCTCCGTGCACAGTTTCTTTATGTGGCTAGTATATAAGCGTATAGAAGAAACGTCAACAAACTTGTAACTATGTATAAATAATAAATAAGCCATGTTCTTCATATATAACTGATCTTATACCACCAGCTGTGTCACAGAAGGTCAGTTATAATCTCAGAAACCGCCATGATTTTGTAGTTCCATTTGCACGGACATCTACGTTTAAAAGGTCTTATGTTATAGAATGATACAATAGGCGAATGGAATAATTTATCATCAGGAATCAGGGATAGTCCGTCAATATCTTATTTTAGAGCTGTCGCATCTGAGCAGCCTACATCACCACCTATGCACTATAATTGCGGTGGGAGATCTACAAACATATTGCACACTAGATTGAGACACAATTGTAGCACACTAAATTCCAACCTGTTTCGTGTTAATTATCTGATACTATTTCCTGTAAATGCGGAGCTCCTTGTGAAAATTCATTCCATTTCTTCTTCCAATGTACCTTATATGATGATATTAGGGAGACATAACTGACAGCTATCGATAATCTTGGAGGACAAACAACTCTAATTTGTATTCTTTTTGTGATCCAAGCTTAGATGTTTTCCTGAATACAAAAATATTCTTGTCTGTACACAAATTTATAGAAACGACTAACAGATTCAGTAGCTAGCATATTATTGTTTCCAAACTGTTAATCATTAATATTGTTAAATCTATATACAACTCTAACATGTATAATATTAGCATATGTATGAGATGCACACCGTCTTCACTTTCCAGCACATTGTACATATCCTTCATATGAGCACTGTATATCAATTTATATCGCACACAATGTGTTTCCACAATGTGATGCTTCAACTGTAAATTGTTAATTTTCATTATGCAATATTATGTATAACTGTATATAGGGAGAAGGTGGTAATAAGTGCTGCACTTGTGCCCAATCCCCTTGTCATGTATTATGATCAGGGTCCATTGGTATCCCTTTAGCAAGTGCGAATCAGGTCCTAACACATCTGTTTTGTCATGTATCACGCGCTATACAGTCGAAACTCGCTTATCCGGACAATTTTCTAAAATGTTGTCCGGATAAACGAGTTTCTGGATATCTGAATATCTTGTTAACTGACCAGAAGTCCTTCCCCTACCTCAATTCTACCGAGGCATATGTGAAATGAATGGCAAAAATATGATTTATGAAGGATCTACCAATTACTAATAAAATACATTGTGCTGTACAGACTAACACAGCATGCTGTGACAGCGCGCTGCATTATTAAAACGGCTGAAGAAATGCATTTGTAGCCTAGTTTAGACTATAGACTTGTTTTGTGTACAGATACGACGGTGAGGTTGGGGCAACCTGACACACATGAGCATTAATAGCCATGTTTACCTGTACTAGTTGAGAGCCAAGGTTGAAGTCATTCATGTGTGAAAAATGTTGTCGAGGCATCTGTAAACGGCTAAAGAAATGCAAATGTAGCCTAGTTTAGAATATGCACTTGCTTTGTGTACAGATGTGACGGCGAGGTAAGGGCAACCTGACACACATGAGCATTAAAAGCCCTGTTTACCTGTACTTGTAGTTGACTGTCAAAAATGCTGTCGAGTCATCTGTACATCTTCTTTGTCGAATTGCATTATTAAAGTACATCCAGATGAGACATCATATGCGTTCATCACAGTTTGTGACGGATTACGGATACGAACGAACTAGCACTTGTTTGGCAGGTAGGTTTTGTTAAGATTTATTATCTTGTTCTCTCTCTACCCTCTACTTCCTTAATCACAATTTAAATCCTAAATAGACTTTCGGGCCCAACACTGTGGCAATTTTAGACCCTCTGTTTCTGTATTTATTTGAGCTCATTTCCCCTAAGGTTTACACATTTCATAAGACTAAGTCGTCAATGATGTCAAAGCTGTCTGACATGTTTCTTATGAACAGTTTATGAAGCTAAACAATGTCCAAGTGACTTAAGCACAAAAACACTTCTGAGAGAGATTTTCTTAAGAAAATACAGTAAAAATGCTTCACTTTGAGCACCCTGTTTTCTTTACATACGATGTACCGTGACATTATAATATTAAAGTGGTATGTAGGTAGATATAACACTAATCTATAGATGTAAACACATTTGAAGATACGTCTGTGTGTTTAAAGTTGATTTTGACCGCCCGGGCCAAGTCGGACCCAACACAAGCAAAACACTTCTGATAGAGACTATGTTGAGAATGCAGAGGGAAAAGGGCTTCACTTTGAGCCCCTTGTTTTCTTTAAGTACAGCGACCTGAGACACTATAAAGCGGTATTTAGGTAGATATAATACCAATCTAAAGATTTGAATCCATTTGATGATACATCTATGAGGTTTAAGTTGATTTTGATCGCCCGGGCCAAGTCGGACCGAACACTTCTGACAGAGATTTTCTTAAAAAAATACAGTAAAAATGCTTCATTTTGAGCTCCTTGTTTTCTTTAAATACGATGTACCGTGACATAATAAAGTAGTATATAGGAAGATATAACACTAATCTATAGATGTGAACACATTTGAAGATACGTCTCTGTGTTTAAAGTTGATTGTGACCGCCCGGGCCAAGTCGGACCCAACACAAGCAAAACACTTCTGATAGAGACTATGTTGAGAATGTAGAGGGAAAAGGGCTTCACTTTGAGGCCCTTGTTTTCTTTAATTACAGCGATCTGAGACACTATAAAGTGGTATTTAGGTGGATATAATACTAATCTATAGATGTGAATCCATTTGATGATACATTTGTGAGATTTTAGTTGATTTTGATCGCCCGGGCCAAGTCGGAACGAACACTTCTGAGAGAGATTTTCTTTAGAAAATACAGTGAAAATGCTTCACTTTGAGCACCCTGTTTTCTTTAAATACGATGTACCGTCACATTATAAAGTGGTATATAGGTAGATATAACACTAATCTATAGATGTAAACACATTTGAAGATACATCTGTGTGTTTAAAGTTGATTTTGACCGCCCGGGCCAAGTCGGACCCAACACAAGACAAACACTTCTGATAGAGACTATGTTGAGAATGTAGAGGGAAAAGGGCTTCACTTTGAGAACCTTGTTTTCTGTAATTACAGCGATCTGAGACACTATAAAGTAGTATTTAGGTGGATATAATACTAATCTAAAGATGTGAATCCATTTGATGATACATCTGTGAGGTTTAAGTTGATTTTGAGAGCCCGGGCCAAGTCGGACCGACCACTTCTGACAGAGATTTTCTTTAGAAAATACAGTGAAAATGCTTCACTTTGAGCACCCTGTTTTCTTTAAATACGATGTACCGTCACATTATAAAGTGGTATATAGGTAGATATAACACTAATCTATAGATGTAAACACATTTGAAGATACATCTGTGTGTTTAAAGTTGATTTTGACCGCCCGGGCCAAGTCGGACCCAACACAAGCAAAACACTTCTGATAGAGACTATGTTGAGAATGTAAAGGGAAAAGTAGTATTTAGGGAAAAGTAGTATTTAGGTAGATATAATACTAATCTATAGATGTGAATCCATTTGATGATACATCTGTGAGGTTTAAGTTGATTTTGACAGCCCGGGCCAAGTCGGACCGAACACTTGTGTGACTGTTGAGAGTATAGGGAGAAGACGTCTACTTTAACCAACGTGTCTGCTTTAAATACGACGATCAGTGACATTATAAAGTTGTATTTACTTATATATAGAACGTTCCTATAAATATAAACACTATGCGCAAAGATGGAACGTTGTATCACGATAGCTAGAAGTACACTACATTTCAAAAGTCACTTCCCCTGTATCGCGAAACTATTTCGCTATACGTTCGCGATAGTGCCGTGAAAGTATCGCGAAAGTTACTCGAAAGTGGCGCGATAGTACCGCGAAAGTGGCTAGAAAATGCCGCGAAAGTTGCGCGCTAATGCCGCGAAGTTTCGCGTAAGTGGCGCGTAAGTGGCGAAAAAGTGCCGTGATAGTGCCGCGATAGTGCCGTGAAAGTGGCGCGATTGTGCCGCGATAGTGCCGTGAAAGTGGCGCGATAGCGCCGCAAAAGTCGGTAATAGTGCCGAGAAAGTGGCGCCATATTGGTACACTGCATGTACACTTCAGAAATGCTGTCGTGCGTTACTTCTCCATGTATGACGGATGTATGTTCAATCTAACCTAGAGCTATATAAGCCTGTTGCTCGTGTTATATTTAAAGAGGTGTAGGTGTATATTAACAATATAAAGCTTTTTTACATGGATATGCTCTTAAACTGTATTTTTTCCGCAAGGATGCATGACCTATTCTATATTAATCAATAAGAAATTCATTGACAAATGTATATATTCCCTGATGTGTGTAACTCATTTTTATAAGTTATCAATAGACTTCGGAATTGGGAGTAGTGTGTGAGAACGCAATTCCTAGTGGTGCCTGAATACACTTATTTTCTAGATTCACCCCGATTTTGTTCCTCAGCTCATCTGATTCATACACAATGAGGACTTGCGTTCGTCCGTAAATGTCTGAAATGCTGAGTGTTAACAGCGGCCATCACAGTCTCTGTTTAGCATTTAGCATTTAGGATTAAATATATAAAAATACATTTCGGTTTTGATGTGCTTATGAAAACGGAATAACTTTCCTCAAAACGAAGTAGAAACAGGGTGATACACAGATGATACATACATGTAAGGAAGAGAATTTATGGATGGTAACTTTATTATGAGGAACACAATGTTTCGAAGTTATATTTACTCCTTCATCGGGTGAAGGAGTAAGAATACACTCCGAAACATTGTGTTCCCCAAATTAAAGATGTCTTCCTTATGTGTTGAACTTGTAAATGATTTTCAAAGATATGATACATAGACGGTTTTAAAATGTTAGGTCAAATACTGTGTTGGTTATCTGTTCCACATAGTGGTAAGTTGTAAGATGAGTTTTTGCTCGTTAATCAGACAAACTACTGCTACACTTGATTTGTGCAAAAGTTGGTGCACGTATACACATGTCGAGTGTCTCAGATACGCGGGGTCTGCTTACTTACTTACTTAAATTTGGACTTTAACGTGCGCTTTCCGACACATGCGTAATTCGCTCACGGGCCCGCCAGGCCATTTAGTGTTTGGTCGAAAAGGGTATGTCCGAGAAGGTGGGGCAACCTAGGGGGGCTTTTAGGGTTGTTTACTTAATTTGGATAACAAATTTGGAATTTTGAAATATGCCATGCAAAAGGTGGAGGGGGGACTAAATGTAGTTTTAGCAGTTGTAGTTCTAAGTATGTTTTTGTAGGTTTAGAATTTTAAGGTTTATTGGCAGCTTTTTTGTTGTACTTTGTTAGATGCGGCCGAGTAGGCCTGTTTTGATTAGATATATGCCTAGTGCTTTATAGGTTTGTAAGTCATTTAGGGTGTTTAGTACCGTTGCTAGTGTCATTTGATTGTTGCAGTTTAGTGTGGATTGGAGTTTTGTTCTATGTTGCTGGTACTGTGTGCAATATAGTATTACGTGTTCAGGATTTTCTATGGGGTTTCTATAAGTTGCAGTGGGGACATTTCCAGGATTGGTGTTTTTTTAATTTGGTGTAGGTGGGAGTTTAACTTAGTGTGGCCTGTTTGTAGTTTAGTTATTTCTGATAGTTATTTTGCCACTTTTGTATTACTTTTAATTTATTTTTTTTACATTGGTAGGTTGATGCTTAATTCTTCTTATTTTAGTGCTGATTTGGCTGCTTTGTCTGCGTGTTCGTTGCCAAACACTCAAACGTGGGCAGGGATCCGTACTATTTCTCTGTCTTTACCTAGTTTACGTAGATTGTTGACGCTTTTAATTATCTGTTGTATTAGTTTTGGGCGCTTTTTGTGTTTTAGTTTGTTTATAGCCTGGAGCCCACTTAATGAATCTGAAAGGATAAGGGTTTTTGGTGGCGGGGTCTGCAGATATAGTTGTGATTTGATGAATTCATTTGAAAGCGAACCAGACTGCAGCATTATTCACAATGAATATACTCGGAATATCTACTCCAATAAAAAGAGCACCCCACAGTTTATTATGTAACTTATAGCGAGACAACTCGGATAGTTAATTACAGGTTACAGGCCGGCAACGCCACATTTCGAAAATAGATAGCCCAAATTGATGTGGCGCTCCCGGCAATGGTTATGGTTGCGTGATTGTATAATGTGGCTCTCACGGCTATGCTGTCAAAACATGCTTTGTGATTCTAACAGGTTACCGTATATAACAAAACAAGTCTTGTTTTCTCATTTCTTATTAAACAAGGATATATATTGAATAGCATATGAATATCATAATGGATCATAACTGCATCGCTCTCTCCATCAGTGTAGCCTTAAAGGCATCAACCTCAAACTCGAATGGTTGTGGGTCGTGGGAGTGACCCATGATCTCAATGGCGTGGGGCGACTCACCCAGAGTTGTGATCCTTGCAGTGCACTCCTTGACAATACAGGACCAGTATCTTCTATCACCACGACTGCTCTTACACCGAAACTTAAAGCCATCATAGTATAAATGTACGCCTCCTCTGACACTTTCAATGAACTTTATTTGAACTTGTGCGTTTGCCATGGTTATGATATGGAGTGAACACGACATCACTGAAATATGTTATGAATAACAGGATGAACTCAATGTCAATTAAGACGGCCTTTGATCTCTAAAGAACACCACGCTTAGTAATTTAAATGTGAGATACT